TAGGTGCTTAGGGCCCTTTGAGATATCCTTGGTGATCCTGCCTGGCCTCCAGGTGCTGCTCCTCCATCCAGTATGCCAGCCCAAGCGGATGTCTCAGATACTTCAGGTCACCAAAAATGAGGTCACGAGACATTTGTGTTTCTGAAAGCAAACTAAAACCTCTGAGCAATCCAGGCAAGATTCTGTCTGGTGACCAGCTACATGAGGAATTCACTACCTAAACACAGGAGTGTAGGGACATTTGATAACACCTTCAGACACCCAAGACATCTCTAAGACGTTCGCAGTTTTGACCCAAGATCAAGAGAAGTTCCTGTGTCCCTCTGAGAGAGCAGCTGAAGGCCACCCAGGGTATGCAACAGCATTCAGCAGGTAACAGACGCCAAGGTTTGGGCAATGGAATTTGTCCTATGACATTCTCTATAGGTTTGAACTGACTTTCTCTCTAGACTCTGTGCTGTACTGTATGGGCTCTACTGACCATAAATCCTCTGTCTACAATAGGTGTGCAGACATTTAATGTGCAGACACTCCAAGAAGGCCCCTAAAGGTAGATGTCCAGCCCTGGAGTGAATCCCACCAGGGGTGTCCTACCCGTTATCTCCAAACATTGCACAACTTGTCAGCAACCTAAGGTATTTACCAGACTTGTAATATCTAAATGCACTGCAGCATTCCATTTATTTTTCCGCAAGACAACACCAGCTTCTAATGGAAAAATTAAGCATAAACACTTCTTTATTTAGCTGTAGTCATCGATTTGATTTATACTCAAATGCAATTTATTATTGATGTACAATGCTCCAGTCAAAGAAAACAAAGAAATTGTTTTTAACTGGATAATCTCAATTAAATGATTGAAACTTGGAATTATTCAACAAAACCACTGCAATGAAGTACAGAGAAAAAAAAAGTTTATAAAAGTGTGTAAGGAAACGCTGAATAATGGACAAATGCAGAAAAACAAAATCATCAGAATTGGTTTATGCATTTGTCTTGAGTGGTAAAAGAGTTCCAATCACGTTCTGTAACAATTATTTTAATTTGCTGTACTGAAAATGCTACAACATTTTTCTGGACAATTTATTTATGGAGTTACTAGGAAAGAAATAAGTATCTTGAGAGCTGAGCTCTAAAATACGCAGGAATTTTAATGAGAAGCCTCCACTAATGGGTCTAATTTTTTCAAGCTCACTACAGCAGCAGGCTAAAGGTCTTCAACTTGCTCCTTTTCCCAGCATTCAGAAGTAGTAGGAAATAGTTACTTCAACCTAATTACAATTACATCATTGTATTAAGTTATGAAATATATAAAAACTGCATAGAGTTTCAGCCTAGTGTATTAATATTCGCTGCTATACTTTTAAATATGCAGTTCCTCTTCCACAGGCTAAAATATCTAACTTGAAAAAGGGCATGTCTGACTGGCATTTCCTAGTAATCTAATCTATTTTCCATTAATATCATAATTTTATAATGGTCTCATTCTCAGTTACAGTTTTTTAATGAAGAATGGAAAATGCATTCATCCTCTGGATTTTTTTCACCCTTAAACTGTATTTGAATACACATTTTGCTATATTTGTTTATTAAAAGGCTGCAGACTAGTATTAGGGACCTTATTATGAAAACCATTCTTGCTGCACACTCAAATACAAGAACTAATTCTAAAGTATGCACAAGATATAGGGGAGAGGGAGAAAGGGAGACCTGATAAGGGCTTTTTTTTTACTGTTGGGAAAGTCATGTGTATGACATAGAAAGAAAAAGGACTGGGCAAGTCTTTTAAAGAAATAATCAAAGAAGTCTTGGTAACTTACGAAGTTTCTCAATATTTGGCAGTAAAGAACTCCAAGTTTGCAAATACTCTGCTCTGAAACCATCCATTGAGAAAAGGATAAGTGGTGACAAATCAAACCTGAAAGGAAACATGAGTTTGTTATCAAAAGGGAGTTTGGAGAGTTAGTGACTTTTGGGGAAAACTTGAACAACATTAAGAATTCTCCTTTTAAAAACAGGATCCACACTTCCCATGAGTGAAATAAATAAACAGTGTGATAAATAAACAGTTCAATTTTGAAAGAAAATACACAAACCTCCTGACAAAACTACTACAGCTATAAAATACAAAATATTCACTATATTTAAAATCCAGGAAAAGAAATTGTGTTTTGATTGTCTTTTAATTACAAACATTCAAACTGAAATACAAAATAGCATCCAAATTCAAGCGCAGAGGATGTACTTCTGTGAACAGTCAACATCCTTCTGTACAGATTAATGGGCTGAATACCATCTCTTTAGGTGCAACTGTCAAGGACTTTCAAAATAGAGTAAACACCCAGCTGGGAGTTATGTTCCTCAATACTGAGGAATGAAGTCTCTTTACAATGTCAGGTTTGTGCTAACCTATTATAAATAGTACGTAAACAATAATTTAAAAAATATATTTGTAATTTATAGGAAGGATTTGCTCCATAAACATAGAAAACTTCAGGACAGAACAACAATTCATTCAATGCAGGTACTAAAAACTGATGCTACACATTGTTTCAGGGTAATGCTGGGGTGACTTGGAGTGACTACTACACAAAATCATTGTATGTTCACATGAGGCAACAATCACCATCCTGGTTGGTTTCTCATGAACAGGGATCTTCCAAAAGCCCTGAAGAAGTACACCAGCATCGAGCCCTTTAAAAACAATGTGTATAAAACAGATCCCTGATTTGAATCTGAAACTAAACACAGCTTTATATAGCAATGCTGTTTCAGAGAATGGGCACTCACCCACCAGTTTCGAAGCCTTAGACTATCAATCTGCGTTAACTCAGCAAGTTATCTGTCAACCTAAGTTAACCCAAGTCTATTTTTATATTAATGTTGGCAGATGCATGCAAGAACCTGCGAACTTTGGAAAGAGACCATACTGCTAAAGGTATCTTTGCTATAAATGAGGCTACATTGGCAGTAAAATAGACAACATAATGGTTCATATCACAGATAACAAAGCTGCACCAGAAAGGAATCCATCACACTTTGAGAACAACTTTTAAGGAGTATTTCTGCCTAGTCACTATTTATAATTTCACGATACTGCACAGACAGCAAAATATCTACGAACACCAGAACTTCAGTGTTCAGGTTTTGCAGCTCTCTGGCTGCTTTCATGGCTCCTTATGCCTCCAGTCTTTTAGAAGCTCTTTTTAGCTAATCTTTCTTTCCTGATGTAACTTCAGATTAAAAAGAAACCTGTTACTTAGACAAAGAATTGCAATCATAAATTCTAATAGTTAATAAAGCTTGCATAAGCTTTTGCAAGGTAATTGACCTAAGTTATCAGAGTTACTATGCTGATGATACAAAAAAGAACTATAAACAGTTTATGATACTTGAACATTGAATTAACTTTAAATATTTTTCCAGCTCTTTGTAAACTGCCTTCAGTCTGGATTTGAACTCCTTTATTCTCCTCTAAACATAAATGTACAACAAAACAACACAAGTTTTATAAAGCAAAGTTTATGGTAGACATAATCTATATGAAGGGAATATTTCCCAGGGCAAGAAGCTAACTCTCGATACATGTGAAATCTCATGGAGAGCTCAGCTCAGGGGGGTTTTTCAGACTATCTTTTTTTTCTTTCTTTTTTTTTTTTTTTCTGTTAAGGCAAAATGCTTTTATCCTACCCATCTGGACACTGAGGAGTTTCAAGTGATACACATGGTTCTTCCACCCAAGGTGTTTCACCTGAAAAAGACAAAAAAAAAAAAAAAAAGAGGAGTCAGAATTAAAATTTAATGTAAACAACCAAAGTTTCTTAACTGCACTTTTTAGAGATCTTCTTGATACTCCTTCAGCTTTAATACAAAATGATAGAAAAGTAGGGCTAAAAACAACTCAGTTTAGTGCAACCTATCAGCCCAAAAAATATTGAAAGGTTTAATACTTTCAAAAATAGAAACAAAACACATGTTATGCAAACAATCAGAATATAAAACAGGGGAAAACATGACTCTGAAAGTTTAGTGTAGGTTTGACCTATCTTTGAATGAAATACATTTAAACTGTGTCCTGTCCACAATGTATTATTGCCTTCTTCTTTTTGGTAGCTACTCCAGTGTATTTGGAGATGATTGGCAGGTCTCTGTTTAACATTGTTTTTCCTGTTCAATACATTTTTCATTTTTTACTGGAGCATTTTTAGTAATGAAGACTTAAATAAAATAATTGCTTTAAATCAGTACTGATGTTACATATCTCTTTCTATTTACTTTGTGCCTTTTCTCAGGAAGGAAGCAGCAGCGGTAAAGCCAGAGGTTCTGTAAAAGCAGAAAAGAACTACTACTGTCAGCAAAAGAAAAACACCTTTGGGACAACAATCTGTGATTTCAGAGATCAAGACTTATCGTCCTCAGGGAGTGCCCAACATGTACAATATAGCAAATGTTTCCTTCGGCTCATAGTTTGATCTCTTTACACTATATGTTTAATATTCATAAACTGCAGATTCAATAATGAAACACAATCTGAAAATGAGTTTATAATAGAATGGATCGGAAAGTTTAAATTAGGGAAGATCATGATGGTAATATGTTCTTGGAAGTGCATGGCATTTGTAGTAAGAACCATTATTCCATCTTTTTGAAAATAAAATAAAATGTATACTGCTGCAATATTAAAATCATTGTGCCTGTCTTATGTCACGTCTCACATTTTTCTCTGGAAATTTTCTTTCCCACTAAAAAAAAACAAAAGCTTCCCTCAAAACCTATTAATTTTCTAAAACTTCATTATACAGATAAGAATCTAAGCATCGTTCCTAATCTTCACTAATTTAAATATCCACTTAATATCACATCAACTTTTAATTTACCTTTGCAAACACTTTTGTAGTCTACGCAACAGTCTTTTTTTTGCAGACAGTCATCAGAACAAGAGCAATAACTTCCAGCCAACCGTGTCTCACCACAACGGAAATTAGTGCATCTCCAAGATTGTGCTAAAAAATTATCAGAAGAAAAAACACTATAGTTCACTTGACAGAAGCTTAAGTTAATGTTTTTAAGCTGAAATGCTCCCGATAGATAAAGAAAAAATGTTCCTGTTAAACTATTATTTTCATGTCCTACTTCAGTAGTTTAGTACTTTAGTAGTTTTTATCTGAAAGGAAAACCCAACATTTCATTCAACGCATAAAGCCTACTTTTGCTTCCACTGAATGGTAACACAGAAGCATGGAATAATTTTGTTTAGAAAGACATTCTCAAGCTCATCTGGCTCAATGCCAGTCACCGTTCCAGAAGAAGTGGAGAAAACCATACCTACTCCTTTAGCAAAACAGAAAAGGGAGCAAAGAGAACCTTTTTCCTGCTCTTATGTACAATGCTGAGCCGAAAACAATCTAATGGCCGAAGCAGGCAGGAAGCAACATGGATGAAGAAAACTCCAAGGAGCTGTCAAGAGGATATAAAGACTATAAAGAGGATATAAAGGAATCTGGACATGATGTAGAAACGGACATATTTCCTGGAAGAACACTGTAACCTTCTGATGCCAATAATCTCACTCTGGGGAACATCATGTACTGCACGCATTGTGAACACACCTTATGGGAAATGCTCATTATTTTTTGAAAATACAGGAAGTGGTGGCACACAGGCATGATTCCGTCCACTGGCCGAAGAAAACCGTTCCACTCACATCAATTCATAATTTTATCTTGACCAGCGAATATGCCCTGCAAATGCTCTGGTTTTCTGTGAAGGAGGCTGCTTTTACTATGTTGGGCTGTGCTCTGTTGTGTTGCATTGTGCTCTATTGGGATGTGTGAAACCCACGAAATTACTTGAATGAGCACTTTTACCTAAAAACCATGCATCTGCTTCGCCAGAATATGGTGATACCATTTGAGAAAGTCACACAAGATTTCCTGTACTGTCTAACCTTAAGCCTTCTAAAGATCTGAATGCAGCACCAACATTACTGTCCTCTTCACTCCTGAAGTTGTTATAGGACACAAGTAATCTTTTTTTTTTTAATGGCCTCAAGACTTTCTGTATATCTGTATAAACAAGAAAATGTATCCTTTTCCTATTACTATCATGCAGAAAATATCTCTACCAATCTTCCTGCCAGGGCACATACTTGGTTCCACGCAGGTATCTTCATAATCCCAGCAGCAGTCTTGACGCTCCTTACACCCACTGTCACACTGGCAGCCTGACAGCTCTTTCCTAAATGGCTCATTACATTTGTGTCTGCAGCTGACTGTAAAGAGAAAACAGGAAGAAAAGTTTTGGCACTCAAGCTTAGAGATAATCCTATCCTGACCAGGTCAAAATAACAAACATGAGCACAGGCTACAGAGAGAAATGTAGTTATTAATTTCTTAGATTAACATTCTCAGTCACTTTTCATTGAAGTTACTAACACACAAGTCAGGTAAAGCAGAACGAAAGTGGCAGAAAGTTATTTGGAGGTTCTTGGTTTTGTTTCCACTCTGTCAGCCAAGAGCCTCCAGTGGGACTGTTTCTTCTGCAAAACTTCTCCTGAGGATCCATGACACAGGGAAGCCACTGGGCTTGGTGTCCCATTCTGCTAGCCTGGGAGGGGAAAACTAGAGCCTCCCCTGCTCATTTCTGGGTCCAGGATGCTAAAAACAAGAATGACTCCTGCTGCAGACACTTCCCCTAATGCATCTCTCCCACTTAATTTGCCTTACAATGTGTTTTAAACATCTGGAGGTTTGAATGTTTTGAAACAAAGAATGAAAAGGCTCCAAGTGAGGTGGAAATCAATGGGAGCAGGTGTAACTACTCAGATTTGGTGATATAATTCTACTGTAGCTCATATTGCTCATATGTAGCTCATATGGCTCATATTTTTGCAAAGCAGGTAATACCTAAAGACAAGTCATTAATACTCACTCTGTATAACTCATGTAGAGCTAAAATGAACATTCTTTTAACCAGTCAAATTGCCTAGTTGCCTGGCAAGTCAACAATCCCCACCTATGATTTATTTACAGTATTTTTCAATATTATTCACAAATACAAATTACAACTGCAAAATTTACAGTATCAACAAAATGTGCACAGATTTTAGTATTTTGTAAGCTTTATCTTGAATAATCAGTGCAAATATAGGAGCCATCATGAAATTTAGTACGCTTATCTTAATTTTGCTGAACAGAATTCAGTGTATTGCCACAGTGATCTCAAGTGCATTCTCTAATTGTGCTCTTCATAAACGTACAGAATCATAGGCTCCCCTGCACCTCAACACAGCCCTTCTTGCAATAATTTGAGACCCCGGGAGGCTTCCCAAAACCTTAACTCCCTTTACTCTTGATAGCCAATACTGCCCTTGCAACAAACACAATATGCACCAGAGCCTGTTGCTCACAGTCAAGGTTTCCCCTCCCACTCCATGGTGTAATACTGTGTATTGCTACTTCACCTTTCACAAATAGATCTGATGAGTAAAGAAGCAAAGAAAGTTAGTCAGTCCCTATTTAGGAGTGATCTGTAAATTTGCAGTCAGATGCACCAAAACGTTAGCATTAGATCTAGTGCCATCTTACACTTCCATTCACTTGCCGTAACTGTAACCAAGTTCTTTCAGTGAAAGTCTGTGAAGACTGAAGCTGCATATATCTATACTTTTGCATACTTGCAATACTTGTAATACAGGGTCATTAAAAAAATCAGGTAGATTGAATGCTGCCTACTAGTCCACAGTACTGAAAGATCTCAGAAGGAATTAAGAACTGAATAATAGAGTAGCTAAACAAGTTCATCATGAGTTTGTTGGGAAAGAGACTCTGCCTAACTCCAGTATCAAATTATTACTGTCCTGATTCAAAAGGAAGTGTTTTTATTTAATTCACCAAATGGTATTTTTGCCTGTTCTGATCCTATTTGGATCAGCCCTTGGCATCAGCACTCTATTTTATGTTCTCTAATTGAAAAGAAGCAAACAAACAAACAAACAGAAACCCTACATTCCACCACGTAAAAGCATTATCCATTTTTTACCATAGCTTTACAGGAATTGAAGTTTTGACAGAAAATGCATAATCAGTTTTAACACTAACTGCCTGAACTGTGGCAGACACACCCAAAGTGTAAGTCTTGGGAATGGTCCAGTGGCAAGTTTTCTAAAAAGTACAAGCTTCTATAATTACAACTTATTATATAGAATAAAATAACCCCTATCTTGAATTTTCTAATAACATTATTATGATAAAATTTCTAAAGCTTTTGTGAAGTAGCTTTAACACTTTTGGAAACAAGGCATTCAGTGTTTTAGGATAACTTTCTCACATACAGACTGTGAGTGTACAGATTTTATGCAATCCAGTTTGAAAAATACATGAACCTTTAGTTTTCACAAAACTGATGGTTAAGTTATAAAGCAGCCTCTGCTGAAGGCTTTTGCTAGATCTAGCTGAAGTGAAATTTATACTGAAAGTATCATAAACATACCTTGCTCTTGGTCTCCATGTTTAAGTCCCAGTCCAAGACCTAGTCCCAGGGACATAACCACCAAAGCAACTAGCAGCACCTGTCACAGAGACACACAAAACTTTAAGTTCGTAACTGTGATAAGCTGTGTTGCCTTTAATAGAAATTAATTGACTATTATCTCTATGAACATCGTCATCTTTAAAACACTGGAGACACTCTGAGCCTAAAGATAGGAGAGGCCTAAAAGTAGTAATCTTGTGAACTGGCTATAAGCCAACACCTAAATATTCTCCTTTTAATCTATCGCTAGTCCATGTAGTTATCAGGGCAGTGTTTACTGAGGAAAAGATAGGAGGAAGCAATTACTTATTCACCTGTTGTGCAAATACTTAATCTGAGTAAACAGAAGAACGTGCCTTTCTCAAATCCAAACCCTTAAATTTAGCTTCCTTTGCTTTCTAGAACCAGGCTGTGACACAAGTCATTTCCCGAACACAGCGTCCTGAAATGCCATGGGGATGTCCTAAGAGACTCATTTGCATAGAGTGAATTTCTTGATCAAATTTTCATCCACATATCATTTTCTCCTAAAGATTAACTCATTGCATTAAGGGATGTTAAAAGAAATGAGAGAGAGATACACAGCCCAGGGAGAGACCATAAGAAAAGTAAACTACATGATGTTTTTTATGGCCTGTAGACCTTATAAGCTACCCAACGGTGGGTTCCCTCGACGCCAACTGCCACAGATCACAGCAGCACAGCACGAGCATGGGGCAACAATCCGGGGAAAACAGGGCAGAGGAGCGGCCCGCAGAGAAAGAGCAGCTGACCCGCCTGCTCTGCGGTGCCGTAATGGAGCCACTTACCTGCCACAACAGCGATAAGAAGGAGCTGAGGAAACTTCGTAAAACCAACCGAACGCATGCTATTCTGCTCCTTTTGCCCGCCCTGCTCACAACAGCACCCGATGTTCTCATTTACTGCTCGCCCTGTCCTAGGACACTGTCCTCCTGCAGTGTGGGAGCTGCATGCGTGCAACTCAACCACGGAGCGGCTCCACACTGGGACTGCGGGAGAACAGGGTGGGAAGAGGGATGGAGCTGGAACACGTGAGTTGGAAGGAATTCCCGACAGCGTGAAGTCTGCAGACTGCAGGTGTGGAGGCAGCAGTTTAACCTTACGCCCAGTCAGGAAGAGCTGAGAAACAGGAGTCCCACCTGGCCAAGCCGCCTGCCACCCTTCCTCTGCAGAAGCTTTAACGGGGTGTTAATGTCACTGGAGAAGTGCTGCCGTTTCTGTCCTCCTGAATGCCAGTTCTGCCTGTCACCACAGCACGCAGTCTTTGTCTTAAAGTTCACTACAGTTTATCCTCCAGTTTCCTTAAAACTTGCACGTGCAATTGAAATAAAGGAATTATACTGGATTTAACATATAGCCGTTATGGCAGCCAAACATTCCTACTACTGCACGGCATCCAGGCACTGAAGTAAAAATTAAGTCATGTATAACATATACAGATGAAGTACTACTCTTTGTTATAGCACTTCCACAAAAGCCCTCGATTTGGGGACATTCATCCGTAACTTGAAGGGACTGGTGACTTTCTGTCTGAATTCAGAACCATAGCTTCTTATTCGGGCAAAAAAAAGAAAAAAAAAGCTGTTGCTTAAGAGTATTCTCTGTCCTCTGGAGACCCTCTCATGTGATGTGAATATTCACTAAAAACATAAGTCTCCTGCTAAATTATCAGGAAAAAATAAAAAAGAAAAAGTGGCCTAGGAAACACTTTATGCATGTAGCTTGTCAAAAAAAAAAAAAAGTGGATAAATGGTATAGAATACTAATAGTTGAAACATCCAGCACTGATATTACGGGCTTTTTTGTGCCAGCAAGTGTGTGAAAACCATTGGAGTTGTAAGGATGAATGTTTCAAGTTACTTAAACTTCTTACTCTTCTTTCAAGTCCTTCTTGAAAGTTTCCTCCATAATTCTGATTTTTGCTCACAGTTTCTCAAGATTTATTTATTTTTTCTAAAGACTTAAGGAAAAATATTTGTTGTACTATATGAAATTGTTGACATATTGACAATTGTTGTACTATATGAAATTGTTGACTATATGAAACTGATGACATAGTGATAAAAAGTCCTGCCCTAATTTTTCACAAGTCTGTTTTTAAAATTAATTTTTTAGTTTTTCCAAAATCAGTATTTTCTCTATTTCTCTAAATTCCAATTCATAGTTCCAAGACACTATTCAACATTTGTATGTGTGTATACATATGTGTGTGTGTGTACCTACATATATATACACATATTTCTTTTTAAATATTTATGAGCACAAAAATAAGCCTGAAGATGGGTACTATCTATGCAGAAGGATTTAAAAACATAACAAAAAACTACACCATTATTTCCAAGGTATGACTTTAATAGAACTGGTAAAGGCAGGAAAAAGCTGACGCCAGAAGTTGCGCTGACAAACAATCCTATTACTAGTCTTTTCCATATCTTGCTGCCTGAGTACTTTTCACTGACGCCTGAGTGTTTTTTACATACTCTGTTTTGCTGACAAATGACAACGTTCAAGACAAAAAAATAAATAAAATAAATTAAAAAACATATTAAAAAAAGAATTGGGGCTCCTTTAGTCACAGAAATAACTGGTCTTGTTTTCTTGGTTTTAAACAAATGTATAAAATAAATATTTGAAGTACTCTCTTTGGCATGTAGAAGTACTGTCAATTTATCACAGTGAAACAAAAGTGGAGTTCAGTGCCAGGAAAAAAAAAAAAAAGAAAGAAAAAAGAAAGAAAAAGCAGCACTTTTGACAGTGTTGAAATGGCTGGACAAGCACAAGAATTTCAGAAACCTGTCAGTGAAGCTAGTGCATCTACACTGACAAACTTAAAGGGTCAGTCCCTAAACCATCCTGCCTATGTCCCATGCTATTAATAACAAAACTGGTAAGGGCTGCTGTACGGATGACAGAGGCTTAACAAGTGCCCGGAATCCCGCAAGGATAAAGGAGCAGACCAGCCCTGAGCAGCCCCTACTCACGATGCAGATGATCTTGTATTTCTGGAGCGTTTTTTTCTTGACATAGTCTCCTGGCTGTAAAGTCACCTCATCCCAGTGGCCGCTCTCCCGCATGGCGATTTCAGGGTAAGAGGGCATCTCGCCGCCGCGGTGCCTGCGCGGCTCCCGCGCCTCCTCCGCGGCTTCGGCGCCCGCTCCAGTGCGCAGCGTGCACTTTGCTCGCTGGCCTCCAGTGAGATCACAGCTTTTAAGGGATAGATCTGCAGGAGGACAGAGTATGAGGAAAATTCCTCCGCGAGGTCAAAGGCTGGAAAGCCTCTCAGAGCGCAGGGGAAACTGTGTTTAGATTGCCGCTTGCCAAATTCAAGATAAGGGCGGTATTAGATAAACTCTAACGAGAGATTAGAAATAATTGCTGCTAAGCAATGAAATGCAGAAAAGCATACATGAAACTCTTTGGTTAAAAGCTTGTCATTCAGCATGTTATTTGCAATCTTCAAAGAAAGTGTTAACGAAACAAATACCTAAGTAGATGGTTTCTTATCTCCTGCTCTCCATCATTGCCATGCCAATGTTTTGAGCACCCTTCTGATTTTTAGCCCCGGAGGATTTTTCGCCTTTTGTTTCAATCCATCCTTACAGTGTACTTCTTTGAGCACAAGTGATAGACAACCAGGGAGTGATAGATGTGTTCCATAAAAAAGGCAACACTAATTGAAGTTCATTAAAAATGGAGGAAAAAAAAAAAAAGTTTTTGTTTAAGTAAATTTTGAAATGGCTTTGTCTTTCAATTGAGTATTAATGGGGGAGGGGGTTGTTTGTTATGAAAACATATTCTCATAGCCTACGGTTACCAAGTTTCACAACTCTCAACTTAAATTGAGAGCAGATGTATTCACATGTTGATCTGATTCTGGACTTGAGCACCATATGAGTTGTGATCTAAAATAAATTTATAATAAGAGCAAATTTTACCTTTGAGAGCACAAATTGTCTCTGTAAGCACCTAGGAACATTTCTGTTCCTACTGCACGTAAAGAAAATAATTTAGCAAATGGAACATGATTTGATGCCATGTATTTAATTTTATTGCTCTTATCTAATTAGCACTCTACTCTTGGAACATTCTTATATAAAACCTCATGAACATGACTAAGACTCTAGACTTTTCCCTGATTAAAGATTCCAGGGATCACACATGTTTAATAATACTCTCCTTTTTTCCAGCCATGCCAAAAGATAGTTCACACCAAACAAACAAACAAAAAAACAATCCACAAAATAATCTTTAAGAGCAAAGATAACAGCACACTCAGAAGAAGGGAAGAATTATGAATCATACTTTTTTTTTTCAGTTTCTGAATGGTTAGTTTAAGTGACCACTCTGTGTACAGTCTAGCAACCCATACAAATAGAGGTACAAATGAACAGTTAACGTTCCCCTACAGTCTGAATGGCAGTGATCAATTCCTTGGCACACCTAGAAATAGGAAAACTATGAAGAACATGGGCAGAGCATCCCTGCCATATATTTGCTAATCTCTTAATCTTTGAGGAAACAAGGAGATACACCTAGCACAACCCTGAGTTTCAATTTTCACTATAATTACTGTTTTAAGCTACTATACATAAATGAGAGCATCTGGAAGTGTTTGAAGACCATCAGGAACTAGACGGTCCTCATATGCTCTCTTCATCTTTCCCAAATTGTCTTGAAGGCCAAATTATTTTATTTCAGCAAAAATTGTGGCTTAAAAACTTCATACATCTCACACTCCACAACAGTGGAGTACGGTATCATAAAACAGCAGATGAAATTTCCATGTTTGGTTTCTGGAACATACAACTTAACTCCCAGGAAACTATGGCAATTTTACTAAGAACCTAACCTGCACAACTTTACCTGAGAGTTATCTGCTGTTTTCATTTAATGTTTTAAGTATGTGTAGGATACAACACAGTCCTTAAAAAGAAAGTATCATCTATATAGATGTGTTCTAGCGATACTCAAACAGTTGGGTATCCTGTTTTACAGAAGATGCTTAGTGAAAAGCTATTTTGCATTGGTTACAATCAAAAGAAAACTCAGAAGCTTACATTTCAAATGCAGAGATCTTGGGAGTACAAGATGAGTTGGTTTCATATCAAAAAAATGCCAAACAGCCATATCTGATGTTATGAAAAATACCAATGCGTTTTACTGTTGCTTACAGATTACTTTTCTTAATACAAAAGGTAAAATTGATAACAAAATAATGAAATTTGAGTTAAATGCCAAAAATTAGGTGTTGGTTGTTGAAAAAATGAATTATCTGCAAAAAGCAATACTAAAAAGGTATTTCTTTTTCCTCACCATTCCTTTTGGTAAATAGCTTTACCTTGGACCAGTTCAAGGGCAATATTAGCCACAGGAATCTTTACATTAAAGGCCGATTCAGTAGTTGGAATGGATGAATAACTTGCTTGTTATACCTGTACAGCAATTGTATAACGTCACTTATCAGACTGTTTGTTCTTTTTTTTTAGAGTCATTTTGAAAGGTGTGTTTTCTTTTTTTGTCTCTGGATTAAGAGTGTCATTTCTTTCTCACGCACAAGTTTTTCTTCTTTGTTTGGTCAGGCTTAGGGCCTAAAGTTATCCAATAAGCACAGTTTGCCCATGCTTGGCAGAGACACTTAAGCGTAATCTCAGTGTTTAAGATCTCTAGAGTTTCTCCTCTTTGATATTCGGTTGCCTCAAGACAGATTCCTTAGGTGTGACCTGCTGTGGTATTTCAGGGCCTCAGCCCTGTCTCAGTGTCCAGATACTTGGCCAAAGACAGGAGCACATGCTAGCCAATTTCATTAACATGAAACTGGCTTAGATGGGGGGTTATTAGATAAATCACTGGTGGTGCTTTATGGAGGACAGGAGTGAGATGATCATGTGGCCTAGTTTAAAAAATCTGAGATAGTAATTGGGCCAAGTTGTTGACTCTGGTTAAGTTTAGACCAATTCTGTTTGATCAAGGTAACCCGTTACAACTGGCCTGGTGTAGCAAGTCCAGTTTACAGTTAATGTAAGCTAATGATTTCGAACCAAGATAATGTTGTATTAGGCACAAAGTTATAGCCACATTGTGGCTTGGACATATATTAGGGTTAGGTCAAGGTTTGGAGCCTAAGGCATGGTGAGAAATGGTGGTAGTCTGAGAGTGTGACCTAGTATCAAGGCAGAGCAAAGTAACAATAGTAGACTGGTAACAATGCATAGTAACAATGCATAAAACAACATCTCTTGGGCACCAGTTCGCTTATGAGTCATTTTTGGGAACAGATAATGTTTGGCACAGAATTAGAGCATAAACTGTTTTGATGTTGCTATTTTGATAAATACTGATCCAGTTAGTCCAGTGTGAGCAAGTGCTAGGACTTAAAAGTTGCGGCGACATCCAAGTGCATGTCAAGTCTCATTGTAACACCCTTTAAATAAGCACACAACGGCTACAAGAAGAGGTGGTTTTTATCAGAATAAATGTTTTTCTGTTAAAGCCAGCTGTCAACCCAATTATAAAAGTGATACAAAGAAGTGCAAATGGACCTTCAGCTAAATCCTGTGTTTCCAATAATCATTCATTACAAATATATGTAGACAAATATTATATTATTATACAGGCCTATATTATTTGTTTCCCAACCTGGTATTTCATAGTACTGACAATAATGCACTGATTGACTCAATTCTGTATATTCCCACTGGCTATGCACCTCTGCTAGCTCCTTGATTCCTGGTACCACTTATATCATAATTTCCTCATTTTTTTTTTTATTTTTAAAAACTACTTATCTCAGTGCTTACATTATCTATTCTTCTAGGCCTGGTTATACAAAACATGTTTACATTTAGAACAAATAATTTATCCAATTTAGTGTGAGGCTTTCTTCTGTGGGTACATCCTGTTATTTTCTACTCAGTTCAGACCCGGACATTTTAATTTCTTGTTGCTCGAAGCCTTCAAGTACCAGCTGGGATTGGGGAACATCAGCTTGGTCGTTCTGCTGTAGGCTTAAGCCTGTGTTCCAAGTTACCAACACTAGCTGAATTTGGGTTGAGTGCTGTTTCGGGAAAGCATGTTGTCCAATAGTCAAATAGCCATAGGCAGAGAGGTCAGCAAATACAATGACAGAGAGCCACAAGATTTCAAAGTTACGTTGATTTGCTGTATTTTTTTTTTTAAAAAGAACGAAATAGTACAAATATACGTGTCTCCACTTTCAAATTAATGCATTTTCAGTTTTTTCTTTCTAACTTGTTTTTACGGGAAGGAATAATTCCAGCTAAGCACCGGCCTTGCCCCCAGCACCCGCGCCGAGGCCTGGCCCGGGGACGATGCCCGCAGCGCCCCCAACGGCCGCCCCCAAC